TATATTCATCATGATGGGCTAACTGACCTGCCTTTTCATTCTCACCTACCATTCTGATGATCTATGAGTGCTTCCTTTATAACTTTTATATTTATTTTGACTTATAATTTCTGCATATTTTTTATGCCTAAATCCTCGTTTTATTTATTAGATAATACGTCAAGATACATTGTATGCGCAAGTATTAGTTAGATATCGTTAATAAAAAACAGGTCAGCTAATTTGACAATTAGCAAAGCAATTGAAAACAAGCTGACAAAAAGTTGGCACGTTTTTGAGACTCGATGCTCTATCTATATAATCTAAGGTATGTATAATTATATATGATGCATATTACCTGCACTAAAATATATAAAACATAATGTATTATATATTTTAGTGCAGGTAATATGAACAGTCAAGTTGTCCAAAGAGAGAAAAGTAAAAGTACATGACATAATGAGAAAACGTGTTACATTAAATATTACATTAACGGTTTGTTTCACTCACGATATAACGTTATAATGAAAATTTTATTTTACTACGAACAATATTTGAATTTAGAACACGGAAACGTGCGTTCAAAAATTAGGCTTTGTTTCGTAATAAGCAGTTTCATCAGCATACCAGTCGTTAACTATCCACCGCTGAATATGGGCCTACCCCATATGGGGATTTTTATCAGTAGTTGCCACGCTTGGCAGGCGGGTTGGCAACCGCAGTTAGGCTTTGGTGATATCGTAAAAGGGACGCTGCTGCCTCTTGACTATTAAGTTCCCTTATTCGCCTTTTACTTTATTTTGAAGACAACTTTTTTTTTTAATAATATATAGTCTTATAATATTCGCTGATAATGTAGCTTTATACATATATAGGTGAATGATTTTTTTTAATCGGTTGAGTAATTTTTTATTTTGTCTATCTATTACAAATATACAAAAAAAAAATACTTTTTATATAATATGTATATAGATACAGATTATATAATACGAGTAGTTTGCCTCAGTCTTCTATGTTTGTATAATTTTTTTTTATGCATTTTGATGCAATTTTTGTATCTATCAAATTAAAGTGTAAATTAATGTATCTAGTTTAATTTTCATTCAAATATATGTTATTTTAATTAATTTCAAACGTAATAAATGCTGAATATAATATTATAGAACTGGATTCATTTACATGTCCAGTTTTCATGTTAATTTCAAATGCACAATCAACAGACCAGTTATAGCATTCCATTAGGTGTGCACGGTATGCACGAGTATAATGATTCAAAACAAACCGCAGAAAGAGTATCAATTCTTTATCTATGAATCTTACCTACTAGATTATTAAAAAAAATTATTAAAAAAAAAATATGGTTACTGTATTACAAAAGAAAAGGTTCAAAACTTGAATTTGCTTTCATTTTATAACATAGTGATTACTTGCCTAAAAACAAGGAATTACATAGAAGTGATAAAATTGTTAATTCATAGCTAGCAGGCTAGTGTACAAAAAATGTTATACGGCCGTATAACTCTACCAAATTTAGATATAACCTGCTTGCATACTTTCTGCATAAATTGTATCGAATATATATATATATATATATATATATATAATCTAGTAATGTAAAATTTGTTATTGACAAATAATTGACATATCAAACATTTTCTATACACCTTCTATGAATTGGTAAAAATAGCAATTGATGATGTAAGATCTTTCGTCCTCTTTTTACTAATTATATTTCCATAAGAAAAAAGGAAACCATATGATTCACAGTTTTTATTTTACCATTCCTTCTATGTAATTCCTTGTTTTTAGTTACTAGCTTGATAACAAAAAATATTATTCAAATTTTTTACTGACTTCAAAAAGATTAACAATTTTTTTTTTTATTACGTGATTCCTAATATATCTGATATTTGATTATTTAATAGTGTTGTGTAATATTAACAGGAATACTTGTTTATTTAGTTGCTACTTGAATACGTTGACAAGAATCAAGACTCTTTGGAACTCTTTGGAATCAACTTCCAGCAGCAGTATTTCCGAACCGATACGACAACATAACCTTCAAGAAAAGAGCATATTCCTTTTTAAAAGGCCGGCAGCACACCTGCAATGCCGTTGGTGTTGTGGGTGACCATGGGCGGCGGTAGTCACTTACCATCAGGTGAGCCGCATGCTCGTTTGCCCCCTGTGTTGTAAAAAAAAAAAAAAGACTGACCTTATTAGTGCCTAGTTTTTAATGGATGATAATATAATGGTAACAGTGAGGGATGATAGGTGAGAATGAAAAGATAGGTCAGTTAGCCCGCCGTGATGAATACACATGGAATTCAACATCATGGTTTCCAGGGGGAACCACGGGGAGGTCGACCTGATAGGATATATTGTTAGCAATGGAACTGGTAGTCTGCATTACAAACAATCCCTTTCCCCCTTATGTATCTATATTAAAAATTCTTTCATCTATAGAAAACTACGTTATCAGAGAGTAACATACGGAAATTCTATCAACCCGTATAAAACGAATTTATATAATATATAGTCTAAAAAAAAACGTTTCTTCAAAGACACAAAAGTTACAGTAGAATTGTTCGCCACATCTTTTGAAATTGAGACCAATTTTTATTTTATTAATTCCATTGCCTCGTCATTTAATCACATGTGCAATCATTTACGCGAAAAGTTTTTTCATTCGAATTGTCGAGAATCGATTACGTAACTGATGATTGATCGATTTATAACAACGACATATATTTTAATGTGAATTGCATCCATTAATTAGTAATTAACATATGTACCTATATGAAATGGTTGAGGTTTTTAGTTATAGTACCTATTATCCTATTTACCTCACTGGATAAAATAAGACTAGACTTCACTGAGAATACACATACATTTTAACCTTCGTTTATATAGATAGAGTGTCTCCATACAAATGTATCGAGAAAAGCGGGTCAACTTTTTCATACAATTTTGCATGAAATTAGTTATTAGTTTTCCCTTTATAACTTCTACGAGTATATTTAGTTTGTTTTATAATTTATGCACGTTTTTAATGCGTAAAAATTTATTTTATTTATTAAATAATTAAATACAGATATGTCAAGATACATTATGTGAAATATATATAACACTGATAAAAAAAAAACAAGTCAGCTAATTTGACAATTAGCTCACAAAATGTTGACCCGTTTTTGAGGCTCGATGCTCTATCTATATAATATAAGATTTTACTTTACTGAGTTTAAAAAAAAAAAAAACTCCTTCAGTTGTGAGGAAACATTCATTATTCTTAAAACAAATCCACCGAGATATTCCATAGACCTATTAGTGTCTATGGAATATCTAGTTATTTAAATTTAAAACTTGTTCTCGAATTACTTTTTGCTCCGCAAAGAAAAGCAACAGTTTCAAATGACACTAAATTAACATGGGACCAACACACCAAAAAATATACTGTAATTCGATTCATAATTGGCTGTTGTTTGTACGCCACAATTAACACTTTCCAATAGCAATAGAGAGACAGTCAGCTTATTAGACATTCCAAGTCATGAACAAAGAGTACCACGTAATCAACTCTTGAATTTTGGAAACTCCCACGAGACTGGGAAGCAAAAGTACCATAGGAACAAAGACGCGGGTATCATGTAGTTTGCCATAATTATGATAATTTATTGAAAAAGTTATATATATATATATATATATATATATATATATATATATATATATATATATATATATATATATATATATATATATTTTTGTTTTTTTTTTTAATAAATGATATTATAAGAGTAACCCCTCCTGAGCTATCGGTGTATGCTGGCGGAACACCAGTGATAAATAATGGATTTAAATCAAGCATTTTTTTTATGGGTGAAAATGGAATAGTAACTCCGCCTGCGCTAACGGGATACGCTGGCGGAGCACCAGTGAAGGGTGATAGATGAGAATGAAAACATGCCAGTTAGCCCATTATAATGAATTCATCAGGAATTAACCATGATAGTTTCCAGGGGGAACCGCGAGGAGGTCGCCCTGGTTGGGTATATTGCTAGCAATGGGATTCTAAGTCTCCATTACTAACAATCCCTTTCTCCCCTTTTAAAATCAAGCATTTGGTCCGTCGTGACGAATGCACATATAAAACAATCACGATTATTTCCAGGGGAAACAAAGAGGAGGTCGACCTGATAGGGTAAAGTTTGCTAGCAATTAGATTGCTAATCCTCATTACTAATAATCCCTTCTCCCCTGTACATGATAAGGTGTAATCTGGTCATTAATATAAAAAAAATCATACTGTACAGGATGTGAAAATGAGATCAAGCTGGTACTGTGATTGCTATAGGCTAGAAAGTGATGTTGATTCCATAAATGCTAAGCTAGACTTGTTAGCAGAGTCTATTTGTGTCAAGCCCGTTTGCGATTAAAACCAGCTTTTTTTTGCAGCACAAAGTAGGACTTAGAAATACTTAGAATAATGTTAAAAAACTTGTTTACGGAACGTATAATAAATGAGGTTTACTTTAAAAGTAAACAAATATTAACAATTTAAAATGCTAATACGAGTATTGAGTTAAAAATAGATAAATATATTTTTTTAATTAAAAAAAATAATTATCAGTCTCTATTAATTATAAATTTAAGTAAAAAAAAAAACTAAGTAAACGTACTTAATATAAAGGCTCCTTCAAATCGTCATAATATGTTATAGCTATAGCTCTAGGTCTCAGATGGATTATTATTTATTATTTATTTTATTAAATTTTGGCAAAAGACTTTATGCCACTAAGAAACTGGAAACGAGATGGGATATTAAAAAGGAACGGAAAGGATTTTAATATTAGTGATAGTTATAACGAATGGTAAACTTTCTAAATATATTTTGTCTACTAAAATTAGCAAGTGTATATAAATTTAAAAATTTCAGATTTAACCTCATTCAATTACAAGTTCCCGAATTAGGATTTTTTTTAAAAAATCAGATGACATTTAAACGAGATTTGACAATTATTTTTTTAGTAATTCTTCAAAAATATATTATTTTATATTATAGATATTTTTTTCTTATAAAATGACTACATTAACATCTTTCCCCGAAAATGATAAGTGTCCTAAAGTTTGTACTGATATTGGGGCGTTTAAAAAAGCTTCTAAAACTCCAGAACAGGCTGAGAAAGAAATAAAAAATGCTGAAGAAACTAAAGCTGCTGTTGCAGAACCTTCACCACCACCAACGTTTCAAGAATCACTCGAAGGAACTGGTCTTCCACCCACGGGTGAGGAATACTTACCTAATCTCAAACCAGGAACAGATGGTAAAGTTGACTGGACACCACTTGGGGATATGACTGGTACCAGACCAGGGGTCAATAAATACTCTATTAGCCGGTATTCACTGAATGAATGGAGAAAACATAACCAGAATGTATTAGATCCCGAAGTAATTACTGAGTCTAATATAATAGACTACAATGCGAAAACATCTATGATGCAGGCTTTTGGTAATATAGATAAACAGCAGAGTGAAAACACAAAGAGGTTAAAACAAAAAGCTAGAGATATCTTTAGATGGAAAGTAGAAGTTGAAAAAGCTTGTAAGGCAATAACTGAGGAAGTTGAATATCTAGAAATAGAACGACAAAGACTGAAAGGAGCATCTAGAGTACTGATGTTGCCTGAATCGATTTCAAAAGAATGTTTAGACCTCCGTTCAAACAGGTTCCAATCAGATTTAGTTGCTGATTTAGCGGAGCAAGAATTAATCAAAGAAATGAATTTAGTAAGCGAAGTGAGAGCAACTTTGAAAAATACTTTAAATCAAATCGAAGAACAAATGGCTATAAATAAAGCTGCTAAACACAGAATCGAATACGATTGTTGTGATAAAGCTATGGCTTACAATACTGAGTCCATCAACCTTAGTCTTAATACAAAATCGAATACAATCTTGTTTAAACCTGGTTCTACAAGATTTGGTGATTATACTGCTCCATTAGAATATTGGGAGTATTTTTGTAGAGAAAATGTCCAGAACTGTGAAGCAGCAAGACAAAAATCTGCGGATTTAAGAGGTAGCCTTAATGCTATTTTAGTGAATGGTGGAAGGAAATTAAGAAATCAAGCCGATAGAACTGATATGGCTTTAGCTGAGACTGTCGCTATAACTCAAGAATTATGCATGAAACTTGAAGAAACTTTGAGAAACACGCTGCAAAGGATTGCAGATATGGAGGTGTTAATAGATAATTTAAAAGATTCTATTAGAAAAATGGACTCGGCCATGAAATTGGCGCAAACGAGACTTGATAATAGAAATAATTGGAGGCCACATGGAGAGAGTGTTAGAGACCAACCACACTTAGGTTTAATTGAGGAAGTAAAAAAGATTCATGAGACTGTAACTTCTCTTCTTGGACAACTGCGTAATGCGGAACGAGTGAGAGAAGATTTATTAAAAAAGAGAATTGTCTTGGAAAAAGATATAGCTTCTAAACGTAAGACATTAAATATTGATAGAGACAGATGTGGGATGATCAGATCTCACTATCCATCAGCTTCTGAACTAGCTGGGTATTGATTAATAAATATATGGATCACATGCAGATATATTTACATAATTTTGTAGAAAATTTAATGTTAGTAATTCTATATTGTTTTCTTTTATTGTTTTTAAATCTTCTGATTCTTCATTCAGTCTATTTTTATGCGATTTCAAAAAAGGACTTTCTTTTTATCCGCATTTTTTCTGTCACTATGTTACGTGTTTATATTCCCAATTCAATAGGTTCATTATCCTCTTAGTCTCTTATATTAATTATAAATATTATAATTATAATTTGTGATAATTACAGTTAGCGTTTTTTGCTTATCAAAATCTACTTGTAATAAGCAATTTTATAAATTTTCATTTTTTGATGTAATGTAGTTCTACTCAAATATCTGTTTACGAAATATTTCGTTATTCGTCAATGTGCGTATATTCGAATAACTTTTTCAAGTTTTTGATCCGTATTTAATAAGAATTAGCAAGATACGCATTATGTAAATATACTGTTTATTTACAATTTGTGTAGCATCTGTTTCAAATCCTTTTTGTATAAAAAAAGCGCTTTCCTTACGTTGTTATTACTTAAACTTTACCTTTCACTCGAGTTGCTTTATTCTCAGAAGAATGATAGGTTTGTTTCATCTCAAGAGCTAGTTATGCAATGAATAAACAAAGATATTTAAAGCTGTACTTAGTAAAGTTAGATATTGTTGCAGCGCTTCATACTGTAAGATTATAGACAAAACTAAGATGGTGTGACAGAGATATAAGTACAAAGAGGGTTTTGCAATTGAGTTGACATTTAACTGACCTATGTGTAAAAGTGAACAATAGTAAAAATTACGTATTTATCTATCTAAAAATCTTTTCAAACGACCTTAAAAAGATTTTCAATTTGGATGTATTTACTTTATGTTTGTTACTTCATAACTCCGTGAGTTGTAAACCTATTTGAAAAATTCTTCTTTTATCTAAGAGAAGATTGATAGAAATTTTATCAAAATCAGTTCAGTATTCACCTCGCATCTTTCATCCCCATCTATCATCAGTTACGGAATCCTCTTTCCTGTATAACGATAACGCAAATGGTCTTACCATCCCATTTTCATCTAATAAAAAAAGACTGTAAAATAGATGTATTTATCTTTCTATCTATCCGTGCAAAGCCAAGGCGGGATCACTAGTCACTTTATAAAATTGTTTTCTTCACAATATTTAGTACAAGGGGAAAGGGAAAGCCAGGTATGGGGTCTAACAGCCCCATTGTTCATAATACACCCTATATAGGGGGATCTCCATGCGGTTTTCCCTGGAAACCATCGTAATTATTATTGAATTCGACACGATGAGACAAATGATACCTTTCATCCACATCTAACATCTCTCACTGGTGTTTCACCAGTGTATTAATTCCATTCCATTTTCACCCATTAAAAAAATAGTAACAAAGTAACCGACATAGCCCGAAAGATAAGCAAGCTGAAGTTGTAATGAGCTGGTCACATAACTCGAAAAACCGACAACCGATGGGGAAGAAAGGTTCTCGAGTGGGGGCCCCGTAAGAGCAATCGTAGTTTATGACAACCTCTCCACTAGATGGAGTGACAACCTTAAATGCATTGCAGGGAGTTGGTGGATGCAGGTGGTTTAGGATCGTTCCTTATGACAGTTTATGAGGGAAGCCTATGTCCAGCAGTGGACAGATAATGGCTGAGATAATGATGATGATGTTGATGATAAAAAAAGCTATAATTAACAGTAAAACCAGCAACGTACTTTGCATGCAGGTCAAACAACAGTTGGTGATAAAATCTTACATGTAATGAACTAAAAAACTAAGATTCCGTTGTATGAAAATAGGAACTTTGCAATTAGAGGCAGCTACACTATGCAAAAACGAGTAATGTTAGTTGAAGAACAATAGCATTGATTGTAGTGGTGGGAAAGTTTTGTTTAAAAGTTTTTATTCGAGTAAACCCAAAGGAATCGATGCAAACATCTTTATTAAGAGAGTTTGCTAAAAATGAGTTTTTTTTTTTTTTAATTGTTAGGGAGGCAACCGAGCAGACGCTCCACCTGATGGAAAGTGATTACCGTCGCTCATGAACAACTGCTTAGTCGATTTTGATTCGACTATTTCATAATCCTATTTTAAAAAAGAAGAAATTTTTCAGATAACCCATATTTTTTTAGTATTATCATCGTCATCATATCAGCCTTTACCTGTCCACTGCTGAACATAATCCTTCCCCGTAAGGGGAGTTTTTCTAGTAGTTGCCACGCTTGTCAGGCGGGTTGGCAATCGCAGTTAGGCTTTTAGAGATGTTTTAAGAGAGACGCTGCTGCTTATACCTCTACCATTAAATTCCTATAGTCGCCTCTTATGACACCCACAGGAAAGGAAGGGGTGGCCTATTTTATGCCGGGACCACATGGAACATGGAATTTATTACACATAGGTTTAATCAATTTCGACCATAATCCAAAATAGGGTTTTAATAGATTCGTTCAAACGATTCTATATGTAACACACCACACTAGCGTTACGACCTTAGTAATCTCTCACGGTAAGCGAACGCCTAACAATACAAATGTGACCTTTCATGTGAAGTAACGTTTGTTTGTATCTCCCATTGCATCTTATAAACTGGGAATGTACTTCTATTCAAATGTTGTATGCCTATTGAGTTTATTTCTTGTTATAGTACATAATTTGTTAGATTCGTGAGCCGTATATCTCCTTGAGACAGATTTAGTAAATGGGACTGAGATTTTTTGAAGGTTTCAATGTTGTTTCTTTTAAGCGCCTCAGAATTTACGTCATAGAGAACTATTTTAAACAAAATAATAGATTTTAGAAATTTTGTTTGTCTATATGTTTGTTTTAGCATCATGCAAAAATTACTGCACCATATTGAGTGTGCTTTTAACAATTGTGTTCCTGAAGGTTTAACTGATGTACGTCTTATTTTAATATGCCATTTAAAAGTAGTTTATTTGGTTTTCCTACTTTTGAAATCCATGCGTACGAAGTAGTGGGACCTAGTAAAATATATAAAACAATTATTGTATACTTTCATATTGGCTTTTATTACTATATTTTGTACCATGTAATATATAAATATAACTGATTACTTATAGTTGAATACCAACAATTCTAGGTGTATAACAACATTTATCTAGAGCTTAAGTTGCAACTGGTTGAATTCCTTTAAAAAGTTTCAATAATATATATTTTTTTATACAGACCATATGACATTTTTTCGTCATTTTGACATCTAGGAAGGTTATGTTATAGATTTATTTTTATATTATGATTAACATTATAAATAATTATATAAATTATCGTTAAGATGGCAGCAAATAATTCTAATTTCACTTGTCCTAATGTCTGTCCAAACTATGAAAAGGTCGTCGAAAAACCTCCGGAATACCTAGAGGCGGGAATGTCTAGAGGTTCAGAAAATCCTTATGCCTCGTCTTACGTCCCTGGCCAGATACAACCACCGGAGAAGAAAGTCTATCCTGCTGGAGCACCGCCAAAATATCTCCCACAACCAACGGACAGTACAAGTGGTGATATATTGGGTATGGGTCCTATAGGACCCTGGGCTGCGGGTCACTTGGACTGGACACCACAAGCTGGCACAACCGGAGTCAGACCAGTAGTTGACAAATATTCTATTACTAGATATTCAACTGGAGAATGGAGGAAACATAATGAGTATATCTTAACCCCAATAGCTACAGATAAGGCCAAAGCAACCGATATCAATAGTAGAAAAGATATTACGAATGCTTTTATTAATTTAGATAACAAACAGGCCGATAGTAATAAAAAATTAGAAAAACGGGTAAAAGATCTTTCTTATTGGAAGAAACGAGTAGAAGAAACCATCAAAGCTATTACTGATGAAATTAACACCTTAGACGAAGATCGAACGCGACTTAAAGGAGCTTGTCGTATTTTAAATATGCCTGAAGCCATATCTAGAGAGTGTTTAGAGCTGCGAACTAACAGATATGAACCTGATTTAGTAAGAGATGACGCTGAACAGGAACTGATTAAAGAAGTGTCAATAGTTGGAGAAATAAGAAGAGTTTTTAATAACACTCTCGCGAAAGTTGAAGAACAAATGATTATGAATAAAGCTGCTAAAACCAGTATTGAGTTTGACTGGAGTGATAAAATGGTTAGTTTGAAAGCAGACAAACGAAATCTTAATTTAACACCAGAGTCAAATTTGTTACTTTATCATCCAGGAGTAGCTAGATGGCCAGAGAATGCTACAACTTTAGAGTATTGGGAACATTTTTGCAGTGAAAGTATAAGAAACTGTGATGAAGTTAGGATAAAATCTGAAAACTTGCGTAAGGATTTGTCAACAATTATTGCAAAAGGTAGTCAGGATATGAAGTTACAAGCAGATAGAACGAACTATGCTTTAGCTGAAACAGTTTCGGCAACGGAAGAACTCTGTGAGAAATTGGAAGAGAATTTAAAAGATAATTTACAAAAAATAGCTGATGTTGAAAATCTTATTGATTATCTCAAAGATGCATTAAGGAAAGTCGACGAGAGAGCCAAATTGGTAATGACTAGACTACATGTTCGAAATTATGATAGACCAAATGTGGAAAATTGTAGAGATGAAGCGCAGTACGCTTTGATAGCTGAAGCAAAGTTTATTAAAGAAACCAGCGAGTCATTGTGTGATAAAATAAGGGAAGCAGAAAGTGTGAGATCCGAATTGATGAAGTATAGAGGTGATTTAGAGAAAGATAGCAAGTTGTACGCGCATACGAGGTTTGTCCGGATAAAAAGTTTTTTAAAAATTTTATTTTACAATTATTCAGGTAAATCAATTTTATCCCCTTCAAAGTAAAAGCGTCCCCCAAATGCCGCCCCCGAAGTACTAATTTGGTTTTTGGGAACAAGAAGAAGTCACACGGGGCCAAATCCGGCGAAAAAAAAACTCACGTCTCAATATAGATCAGGATAGATTAGCCAGAGTACGCGCACATATGCCTACTCCTAAAGAATTTGCTGCTGGATAAATTAGGGTTTGTTGCATAATGTGGAATATTTTGTATTTGAATAAAATTTAAAGTGAAACCTATGTTAGTAGTTGTTTCTATTTCTAATAGGCTTAATTTTCTAAAAAATACACAGTAATGAGAAAAAGTTTATTGTAAGCCGCAAAACAATGGTGTTAAGATTTTTAATTGTATTGTATACTAGCTTTTTGCACGCTATTTCGTGTGCGTGGGTGGATATCAAAAATAAGTAATATAATAAAAAAGATCATTTTAGATGACGTATCAAGATAAAACAAACACTAGATTTTAAGTCAGTACTAAAACAGGAACATGATGTGAAAACCGCGTCCAATTTGGTGTAATAGTTTTTACGTGATGTAGAAACAAACATATAGATAGACAGAGAACATTTCTTAAAGTTATTGTTTGAATGTAGTATATTCATTTATTTTAACATTTATTATAATAGCAGGTAGGTATTATATGTATTTATAGTGTATGTATTTATGTAATATTTTATTATATATTTTAATATTTTATTTAACTGTATATTTGTTCATGTATTAATAGTTGTAGCACTTCAGCTGCCCGCTAACGAAATGCTTTCTCACTGTACTGGGTTGACTGGAAGAGATCTCTGTCAGAGATAAGTCCACCCTTGCTCACATTTATAAATACATTATTTTATATGTAATTTACAAGTGCAATAAAGAATATATTTTTGTTTTGGCGTCTATTAGTTTAATCGTGACTTCTCATTTAATTTTTTTTTTTAATATTTCCCACGTGCAATATAGACTTCGTTCAGTTACAATTTTATTATATAAGTAAGATAGATACTTGCCGTATGGTCCCAGCATAGAGTAGACCGCTCCTTCCTTTCCACTGAGTGCCGTATGAGGCGACTAAGGGAATTTAATTCTCAAGACATGAGCAGCAGTGTCCATCTTGAAACATCACCAAGGCCTAACTGCAGTTGCCGAGCCGCCTGCCAACCGTGACAGCTACTGGCAAAACCCTCCAATAGAGGGATAATTGAATATAGGTATATTCAACAGTGGCTTATTTGGTATTAGATAAATACATATATAGGTATGTCACGCTAAAACCATGGAGTGTTTTAATTTTTCTACCTGATTGCACTGTCGATATCCAACTAAGTCTATAAAGGAACGTACGTAAATATCTGGCATTTGCGATTGTGAAATTGTCTTTCGTCATGAGAAATATGCTGTTTTCTATAAATATCAAAAGGCCTCTGAAAATACATAATATGTTAATAGATACCTTAATGTATAATACAAATGAAAATGAAAATTCTTCGTTGATTACTCAACAAGGTATGTTACATAAAAATGATTGTTGTTCTGTCCATTGTAATGATCACTTCTCACAGTTCAAAAGTGAGTGAAATGTATGCGTAACTGTTATCTACTAAAGTTATCTCCAAAATGAAATCTGTATTGTTTATTCACACTTATAAAATATTGGGTCATTGTATCTAATTTCGTTGAGCGTTGAAATTATGTAATTCGCTACTGAATTTTTTTATGAATTGATAACTCTAGGTTTTTTTTTATACAACTTAGAATGGCAAACAAGCTGACGGCCCACCTGATGGAAAGTGGTAACCGTCGCCTATAGACACGAGCAGTACCGTGGACACAACAGAGTATACTGTTTCGCCCATGATACCCCCCATGCGTTGCAAACACAACTGCTTCATGGTTGAAACACAAATGGGACAGAGGTACCCAAGCAATCGACTTTTGTACAAAGTAATTATAGAGCTTGGATAGAATACTATTAAAAAAACGAGTCAGCTAATTTGACAATTAGCTGACAAAAAGTTGATCCTTTTTTAAGACTCGATACTCTATCTATGTATATAATCTAAGTTATAAGCTATACAGTTATACAATGAAGTTAATTAAAAAGTATTGTTCATACTTCACCATTGCTCTGGTATGTTGCAATCTTTTTCTATACAAAACTGCAAAAACCTTTAATTTCATAGTTTATTATCGAAAGTAAAATTCACGCTCTGCCAGTACTCTCAAGAAAGCCTGCAAACGTTCGTTTCTCTCAGTTATGGATTAACGAAGGGAAAACGGATAATTTCCACTCCAGCGAACGGTTAATGGTTTTAGTTCCGTTGTAAAGGAAAGTTAACTGAGGTTGTGTCATCGGATCTAATTGATTTCTTATTTTTTATATCACAAAGGTTTTATCAGAAGGAGATTTATATAAATCTTTTTCTTAATTGACTTCAAAAAGATTTTTTTTTTATACAACGTAGAATGGCAAACAAGCTGACGGCCCACCTGATGGAAAGTGGTAACCGTCGCCTATAGACATGAGCAGTACCATGGACATAACAGAGTATACTGTTTCGCCTATGATACCCCCCATGCGTTGCCATTCCTGAGGACTCAGATGTTTTTCCTTTGTACCCTGTAAATTCACGCCATATCCCACCCTTCAAAACGAAACGCAACCATGCAGACACAACTGCTTCACGGTAGAAACATGAATAGGACATACATGAAGAGGACCCAAGTTAACGACTTTTGTACAAAGTCTCCCTCTGGTAGACTGTTCTCAATTTGTAAAAAGTTGTAAAAATATCCACCCGTGCGAAGCCGGGACGGGCCGCTAGTGTATAAATATAAATAGTCGCCTATAGAGGCAACTATCGTGACTTTCCATCAGGTGCGCCATGACTAGGAATAAGGAATCATTGCTAGCAATTTACTCTACCAAGCTGTCATTTACGCAGTCGTCCTGGAAATCTTTTATTTACTATGAAAGACCAAACTTCATTTTATTTGTATCTATTACCCCTCTTTGGTACCTCATCAATGTAAACAGAGTTAGCATGCTATTTTCACAACAAAAAAAATCTTACACAATTCCTCACTGTATTTGTTAATTGATGGAATAAATGAAAACTTTATTGTTTTCCTCAAAGTGAGTTAGTTACATGACAATATGTACTACATACAAAAAAAAAATTAATTACAAGAATTTAATAAATATATAGTCTAGTTTGCGGCATGAGCACTCTTAAAGTTAACAAGAGCTTTCTCGGTCACTTTTAATTTTATCTAATTACCTATAGCACTGTGTGATTACGTCCGATCGTCTGTTGTGATTAGCAGATCCGTTCCACGCAACTAGCAATTGCAACAGCTGTTGAAATTGGAGAGATCGAATCGAAATCCCTTCGGCTTTCATCTGTGGATAGATTGAAATAATAACAGTGGATTGCGAATCGCAATGCGTAATACTCATATAATAACAATTGCATTTTAATTACAATGATCAATTGCATTGATGACGTTGATTGCTTGCACTTGTTCGAGTTTCGTATCCGAAATCAGTATAGAAACACTTGTGTACTAATATGTAATTTTATTTTAAAGACGTTTCGACCTAGTTCAGACTGCAGACTCTTACAAGATTAATTATTTTAAGTTCAAACCTAAATAGTTATACACTGTACAATATTCTTTGTGAGTAGTAAAAAAATTGAGATTTAAAAAAAAAAAATTATCATACGTGTCTTGCTGTAGTTCACCAGTAAAAAGTATACTAAATGTCTTAAAATCTCATTGTTACAGCTGCGGCTATGGTGGCTGGCGTGGCGGTGTACCCTGCTGCGTGGAGTGAAACCTCCGTCCAGGAGACGTGTGGACCGACCGCTGACCAATACAACATTGGTAAGATTTTCTTTTAAGCAACTACTGCTACTTGCTATTTCCCTTCTACCATCGAATCATCATCATTCATCACCATATCAGCCCTTAACCGTCCACTGCTGAACATAAGCTTCCCTCTTGGGGGGTTTTGCCAGGCGGATTAACAATCGCAGTTAGGCTTTGGTGATGTTTTAAAAAAGACGCTGCTGCCCATCCCTCGCCCTCTCTTAGTCGATTCTTACAACACCTACGGGAAAGGAAGGATGACTTCTGTATAATTGGTTCCAATTATAATATATTAAGATCTAAGGATGCAAGGTAACGAAACATCACCTCGTGTGTGCAAGTGTGCGTTGCATTTACGTTCGCATGTGTGTGTGTTTTAGGCCTGTATGCTTGTTTGCCACCTTTGTGGTTAAAAAAAAAGGAAAAAGTATTTATCCAGTGTCCACAAATACATTATATACTACGTGTTTTCCAGGTCGTTGTCACATCCGCTGGGCGTATCTGTTGGCTGTAATAGGGTGCCTCGACGGTATCGTGCTGGCTGCCCTTGCATTCATCTTGGCCACTAGACACGTGAGGCTGCAGCCCGATAGTGGCTATCCACCACCTTCTTTGTACAAAGGTAAATAAATAATCTATACATATATATATATATATATATATATACAGAAAGGGTGAAATCGGAAACATAAGCATCCTTCCTAATAATGAAAGTGAAGATTTTTCCGAAAGAAACTTAGATTGAATAATTTATGATTATGATCCAACAACAACAAAAAACTGACTTCAATTATGGCAACACCAGTTTTTTTTTTATTTATTTATTTATTTATAGGATCACCAACATAAGACGACGAACGAAGCATTTCAATATAAGGAACTAGTGGATTAGGTCTAACTGTTCTTACATTTAGAGGCAACCACAGCATGTAGTCTTAAATGGAATCTTAGTAAGGTAATCCCTTTTCTCCCTTGGACATCTATTAGGTGATGATGACACATGACCTTTATGTCACAAGATGCATCTGGTATTACAAAGGTCAAGGACCGCGGTGACCGCTTACCATCAGACGGGCCGTATGCTCCAGTAACACCTATGTTATATAAAAAAAAAATAAGAATTACATCTTCCACTATTACTATCATACTAATATATTGTATGAGGTACCAGGCTATCATAAACGCGCGGCGTTTCCAACCCAATTACGTTGACACCGACGCAACCAAACCACAGCCGTACGATGCGGTCTAACTGCACTGCCTGCGTAAAGAGATGCGCTATAATTAAATTGAAATGATCTTCCAATCATTGATGTAATAATAGGATGCCAGAACAGGCAAAACGAAAAAAAACAAGCTTTTTAGATAAAGGGCCCCTCCCTTTAACGCCATCTATCGAGTCGATGAATTAATTATATGATATTGTTTTTTAATTGTTGAGAATGGAATGGAGTCAGTTATAAACCGATTTGGAACATTCTTTTTTTTTATTCGAATGAATATGTTGTATTTGAATCCAAAATAACTAGCTTTGGCAGAATTAAAGTGGATTCTAGTTAAATTATGGAATTGTTGGATAATCCTTAATAATAAAAATAGGATAAGGTCTGAATTCAATATCTTTGTAATAAACACCATAAAATTACACCAATCGCCTGCTCCTCAAGCCAGGACATCTTGTGATATGAGGAACCATGCGACAAACATCTGCGGGCACGGCCCAGAACAATCAGACCCGAGATAATTCTGAAAAGCTCATTTCCTAAATTAGTCCGAACGGGAATCGAACTCGGGACCTCATTTATGCAAAGCAACATTCTCGCCGCTGCACCGCGGAGATCGTCAAACGATTAATCCTTTATAGAAGTTGTTATTATAGTATATTTTTAATCAGTGTTTTATTTTGACAAGGAAAGATATAGACAAATTAATTTTATTGTAAGGGTGGGTAATATATACGAGTATACCAATATCCATATATTTCCATTAGAATATATATATATACTGTTACTGGGCCAATATATATATATATATATATATATATATATATATATATATATATATATTGGCCCAACAGATATATTAAGTATCGGTTATCCAATATATAATATCGAATTGAAGCACCTAATCGTATTTAATACAGACATCCGATTGGTATAGGCGATATCGGTATGGGTAATGACCTTTTTCGCTATAAATGTTCAGAGAAACCCAATATATGGATATTACCCATGTCTTTTATGCAATCTAGAGTGCCAAACAAGCTGACGGCCCACCTGATGGAAAGTGGTAACTGTCGCCTATATACATGAACAGTACTATGCACATAACAGAGTATACTGATTCGCCCATGATACCCCCCATTCGTTGCTATTCCTGAGGACTCAGGTGTTATTCCTCTGTACCCAGTAAATTCACGCCATATTTCACCCTTCAAGCCGAAACACAGCCATGTAAACACAACTGCGTCACGGTTGAAACACGAATGTGACAAAGGTACCCAAGCAAATCATTCTTAATTTATACATTAGTCTAGTACAAATTGAGAAAAAGGAATGAATATAGTGTGACGTCACCAAATACCGTACGCAGGCGACGTCAGGATTATCACATAGCATGACATATATACATATATATGGTATATATTTTATAACATATTTTCCAGTCCAGTTCCGATGGCGGAACGACTGTATCATACGACACGCTGGTTGAGGACAAAAGCGAACGTTCATTTCGATCATAATGAACATAGAAAGTTAATTGCGTACGCTTATTTAAAATCGATTACAACTAAAACAAATACTAACAAACATAGATCAACAATATCTAGATAGAGTATCTCTCTAGAAACGTGTTCACGAACAAGAGAAACTTTTTAGAACTTTGCATGTAGCAAAGTTCTATTTTTATATCATTTTTTTTATATAGTTACCCCGTCTTCGCTTATGGTATACGTTGGCGGGGCACCAGTGATAGATGATAGGTGAGGGTGAAAACAGGTCAGTTAGCCCATCGTGACGAATTTCACAAGAATTAACCAAGACGGTTTCCAGGGGGAACCGCGTGGAGGTCGACCTGATAGGGTATATTGTTAGTAAAGGGACTGTTAGATCCCATTATTAACGATCCCTTCCCCTCTATTTTTTATATATTACACTAAGTTTTTGTTCGTTATTTCGTACGCATAAATTTCAAATGTAGGAAAATAAATCACTTCTAGGAGGCGTGTCAAGATAGTAACGTAAATCAGATTTTAAGTCAAAACTTTAGGAATACAACTGTAAAAACCTAATCAAATTTGGTACAGTAGTTTTTACGCGATGCGGGAATAAACGTACAAACTTTTTTTTATACCACTGAGGTGGCAAACAAGCATACGGCCCACCTGATGGTAAGCGATTACCGCAGCCTATGAACGCCTGCAATACCAGAGGTATTACGCGCGCGTTGCCGACCCTGAAGAAACCTCTTTACCCCCCCTTTTGAAGAACCCCATGCTGTAGTCTCTGACTGACAAAACTGACAGACAAAACTTTAAAAATTCTTGTGTTTTCTATATAACAGCTAATATTTCAATTGATCAATCATCATCATCATTATAGCCATTAACTGTCCACTGCAGGACATAGGTCTCCCCCATACGGATGGCTTTGCTAGTAGTTGCCACGATTGTTACGTACTGGTTACGCTTCAAACTCTTTTCTCCTACATTCTTCACGACTCTGGAACGCGCTTCCTGATGTCATTAAGAGACTACCGACTAAACCGTCTTTCAAAAAAAGCGTTCACGCTCACTTTTTTACTTTATCCGAGCAGTACGTACTTTATATTATTCTCAATTTCGTGTATAATATAGTATAGTATATGTCATATATGTGTAAGTATATTTGTTATTCATATATATTTATTCGTTTATATATGTAATTTTAGTATGTATGTATATCAATAATTACTAGTACCGCATTCGAGTATTCTGACACTTCCCTATGGTTGACTGGGAGAGAATGCTTTTAATATTAAGTCCGCCATGTACACATATTTGTACTAATGAATAATTAAATAAATTGTCAGGCGGGTTGGCAACCGCAGTTAAGCTTTGGTGACGTTTTAAGTGTGACACTGCTGTCTATCCCTCGACCATAATACTGTATCGTTACATTTATTAATTGTCTTGCTTATTTCCTATATTGTATAATGCGAATAAAGTATACTCATTCATTCATTAAGTTCCCTTCGTGATTGATTATTTTAATTATCTTATTATATTATTGACTTTGTACAAAAGTCGATTGCTTGGGTACCTCTGTCCCATTCGTGTTTCTACCGTGAAGCAGTTGTGTTTGCATGGCTGTGTTTCGGTTTGAAGGGTGGGATATGGCAGTGAATTTACTGGGTACAGAGGAATAACACCTGAGTCCTCAGGAATGGCAACGCATGGGGGGTATCATGGGCGAAACAGTATACTCTGTTATGTCCATGGTACTGCTCATGTCTGTCTATAGACAACGGTTACTAGTTTCCATCAGGTGGGCCGTCAGCTTGCTTGCCATTCTAAGTTGTATATAAAAAAAGCAGGCTTTCCCAAAGTGGACGATAACGCCCCCTTGTGGGCGCTGCAGTCCTAAAGGGGGGCGGTAAGAGACTCAGACAAAAAATGGGAGCGTTGTGTAGAGGCTTGGGGGGTGATTTGTAATTTAAAATAATAATGATTTTTAAGTAGGTGAAAAAATGGGGGCGCTAAAAAATAACTTATTCTCAAAGTGAGCAGTAGACAAAATAAGTTTGGGAACCCCTGTTTTAAAGGAATGTTTCTTTAACGAGCGATCTCTCTTCAGCCTGATCAGTGAGTGCTGATGATTGCAATGCAATTTACACGAGAATTTAAATCGTATCTGTCGATTGTGAATACCGAGAATAATAGGGCTGTCACACAGTTATTTATCTTGAATTTACTGGGCACAGAGGAATAACACCTGAGTCCTCAGGAATGGCAACGCATGGGGGGTATCATGGGCGAAACAGTATACTCTGTTATGTCCATGGTACTGCTCATGTCTATAGGCGCTGGTTACCACTTTCCATCAGGTGGGCCGTCAGCTTGTTTGCCATTCTAAGTTGTATAAAAAAAAATCTCTCTGCCGATTTTTTTTTGTTCTATTCAATATAATTTGTCTTTCAACTCATGCCTTCCAAACACGAAGGCGTTCAGTTTTTTATATACTCGTAATATAGCTTTTATATTCCGTTCCGGACGGAGAAGAAGGGTTTATAACTATTCTTCTCCTTTCTTCTATCATCGTGAACGATTTGATTTCCTTGTTCCCCATGGCGTTCGACGCAGTTTCTTATCCTTAAAATCCCCTCTCACTCTTCCATGCGCTATAGCGGATCCTTTACCATCCATGTTGCTACATTGTGGAATTCTCTTCCTATGCCTATCCGTGAGATTCAGTCCCTAAATATAGATAGATAGATAGATAGACACTCTTTATTGTTTCCTCCAAAAGATTACAATAGTAAACTTATTATAAATATAAATAATTACAAGAAATAATCACAATGAGAAAACAATGGGCGACCTTATCGCTAAGAGCGATCTCTTGCAGGCAACCTTTGGATGGAGAGGAGTAATTATAAACAATTTGGTGGGAGGCACGATGAAAAATTTTGTTAGTTCTAAATATGGGAGATGTAATAAATATTTTTAAAAATATACTTAAAGAGCATCTTCTATCTTTTTGAAATGATATTTATTTGTTTGTATTTGTAGGAATATTTATATGTGAACTTACTAAGTCCATATGATAGGTATATAGGCTATGAGAGATAATTAACAAAAAAAAAGACGATTTAAAAAAATATATATTTATTTACCAATTTTTACACGCGACTTTTGCCACATGATCGAAATATAAAATAATCTATGTCCCTATCCATCCAAAATACTAAATGTATATCAAATTTCATAAGAAATGGTTGAATCGTTAAGCCGCTTTGTAGTAACAAACGAACAAAGTCACTTTCATATCCTTACTAATATTTTTTTTTATGGGTGAAAATGGTATGGTAGCCCCGCCTGCGCTAACGGGATACGCTGGCGGAGCACCAGTGAAGGGTGATCGATGAGAATGAAAACAGACCAGTTAGCCCATCATGATGAATTCATCAGGAATTAACCATGATAGTTTTCAGGGAGAACCGCGAGGAGGTCGACCTGGTTGGGTACATTGCTAGCAATGAGATTCTCAGTCTCCATTATTAACAATCCCTTTCTCCCCTCCTTATTAATATTAGAAAAGTGAGTATGTTTGTTATCCCTTAACGTCTTAACAACTTAAACAATCACTATGAAATCTATTATCATATGAGATAGAGCAGGACAGGTTATTTTTTATTTCAGTCAGTGAATATATTCCGATCCACACAGACGAACTTACGTATAAAAGACATTTAACAATATTTGGAAAGGATTTATTTATTTAATTAACTTTATTGACCATAATGAACAAAAGGCGGACTCAATGCTAGTAACATTCTCTACCAGTTAATCAAAGTCAAGTTAAACTCAGATTGATTTGAGGCACAACCCTAACGAGAATCAGTAAAGCAGTCATCTCATAAATATGCTAACGGACACATGACATACTTACCGGTTCGATTCCGCGAGTTGTCAGTAGGTAAACGGTGTATCTTGTGTCCGAGAGAACTGTGCGTCATTGCATTTTTAAGCAATCACGCAAAGCCCAAACTCTGGACGAGTGGCGGTCCTCCACCGTGCGTTTTTCAAGGCACTTTCTTGCACGCACAACCTTTCTTTGGAATCAAATTCCAGCAGCAGTATTTCCGAACCGATACGACAATATAGCCTTCAAGAAAAGAGTATATTCCTTTTTAAAAGGCCGGCAGCACACCTGCAATGCCGCTGGTGTTGTGGGTGATCATGGGCGGCGGTAATCACTTACCATTAGGTGAGCCGCATGCTCGTTTGCCCCCTGTGTTGTAAAAAAAAAGTTACACTTCTAGCGTTCAGTAAATATTTTTAATGGATGAGAATGTGAACTACCAGTCCCATTGCTAGCAATATACCCTGCCAGGTCAACCCCCACGGGGTCACCCTGGAAACTATTGTGCTGAATTCCACATGTATTCATCATGATGGGCCAACTGATCTGCTTTCATCGTCACCTATCATCCCTCACTGGTGTCCCGCCAGCGTATACCGATAGCGCAGTCGAAGTTACTGTTCCATCGTTACCCATTAAAAATATTTGAATTAAGAACTTGTGAAGGTATGAACACTATCTACGGACGCCACTAGACTGTATAATGTGAAAAATATTTACTTACCAGCCAACTAATGAGTTTGGTAACTTTAGTAACTATTAAATTACATGTCTACGCATACATAATTTACTAATTAACATTCTTTCTCCATTCCAGGCGAAGTGAACAACGCTTATGTGACCGACGCGACATCTGTCTCCGGATCGCGGAAGTCCCTCGCGCTTCAGCCAGTACTCATTATGCATCCACATGCCCCAATGGATATGGACACCTATTCACATTATTCTGGAAGAACGGCGAGGTCGAAACACGGCATTTATGCTAATACAATGCATAATTATCAACTATAAAATACAACAAATATTACGAGGTTACATTTGTTAAGTAGTACCGCCATCAGCCAATAGATGGCTCTTTTCCAAATTTAAATTCGCTCTATGAAGACTATTTTATTGCGTTATTTGTAAGTTTAATTAATACAACAAACCTGAATTTAATTTAAGCAATTGATGTAAGATATTACGTTAGTTATAATTGTGTATATATATGTATAATTTTAACATAAGTATTTCGAAATTACTTTATAATAGTTAATAATAAGATAAGTACATAAATTTAACAGAATAATGTGCGATAAAACAACGAAGAATTCGATACACGAGTAGGTAATTTTGTAATTGTCTTTTATTTTTATATGTTTTTAATTAAATGGTAATTAAAGATAACTGATATTTTATTATTAAATTCCCATGATTGTCTTCGATAACTCCTTATCTATCTAGCGAGATTGTAAACTGTCGAAAGTTTGTGAACCGTCGCATACTGCTTACAATTTGACGCATTATTTTTCGGTAGATTATAATTTATCGAAATGAAACCGTCATGTTATACAATGGCATAAAACGGAACGCAACTCGCGCGCTGATTGGCTGAGCGATAAATAATCATATATAATAATAATAAAAACAGTATATTTATTTAAAGATTGAGTCCCACAAAAAGAAACTAACTTCAATCGTCACAAAACCAGTAATTTCAATCTAAAAATTAAACTACTCCACTGATTTTGATATTTTTTTTTTTCATTAAAAACTAATCTTTAAGTATATCTCAGATAGAAAAACAATTTGTCAAATACTTGTGAAAACCTCCACGCGTTTCTAAGAAAAGGGGTTTTGACAGACGGACTCATATACGAGTAAGGATTCCGTTTTTTCCTCTGGAGGCACGGAACCCTAAAAATAGAATTCGGTTTGAATTAAAATAAAATGATTTACTTCGCGCCGATCAAAAACAGTTTTTTTAATGGGTGATAATGGAATGGTAACCCCACCCGCGCTATCGATATACGTTGGCGGGGCACCAGTGAGTGATGATAGATGAGGATGAAAGCAGGTCAGTTAGCCCATCGTGACGAATTCCACTAACATAACCACGATGGTTTCCAGGGGGAACCGCGTGGAGGTCGACCTGGTAGGGTATATTACTAGCAATGGTTTGATCAATAACAGTTAGAACACAAATAAGAAAGATTAAAAACTTAAAAGAAAATACAAGAGGGAGACTTTGTACAAAATTTGGTTTGCTTGAACACCTCTTTTTTTTTATTTTTTATTTTTATTTATTTTTTTTATTTATTAAGCGCACATAACAGAAGTTTACAAATAAAAACTTAAATTATAATATGCAAGTACATAACGGGTATCAGGTAAACTTGCCACAACATGTGCACACAGCATGATCCCATAATAAATGCGACTGCAACAAAGTTATTAATTAGGTTGCAACTATCAGTGAAATTTTTAAACATAAAAATAAACATAAACATAAAGAAAGTTAAATAAAAAAACCAAAACAAATTTATTTAAGAGATTTCTAAATATTACATTATTTTATATAATTGTCTGCGAAATTGATAATAACTGAGCCCAAATATATCAAGGTCATTTTGATGAGCGTCATTATACGATCTACACATATTGGCTATGGGGTTATTTAAAGAAATATTGTTTCTATAAAAAGGCACAGTGAAAGTCCGAAGACGAATTCGGCCATTCGTATTAATATTAATTAGTTCTAACAGTTGGGGACAATCCACAATTGAGTTGACCTCTGTTCCATTCGTGTTTCAACCGTGAATTTACAGGGTACAGAGGAATAACACATGAGTCCTCAGGAATGGCAACGCATGGGGGGTATCACGGGCGAAATAGTACTCTGTTATATCCATGGTACTGCTTATGTCTATAGGCGACGGTTACCACTTTTCATCAGGTGGGCCGTCAGCTTGTTTGTCATTCCAAGGTACATAAAAAAAAACTTATACCTTCATTAGGTCACCACTCAGCTAAGTGTCTAGGTATGCAGTGTCTGGTGTTTACATAATGCGTAAATGTTGATTTACCACAAATAGAATAGAATTACAAATGGAGCAGGATTTTTTCTAACGGATGATAATGGATTTTTTTTTATACAACTTAGAATGGCAAACAAGCTGACGGCCCACCTGATGGAAAGTGGTAACCGTCGCCTATAGACATGAGCAGTACCATGGGCATAAACAGAGTATACTGTTTTTTTATGGGTGAAAATAGTATGGTAACCCCACCTGCGCTAACGGGATACGCTGGCGGAGCACCAGTGAAGGGTGATAGATGAGAATGAAAACAGGCCAGTTAGCCCATCATGATGTATTCATCAGGAATTAACCATGATAGTTTCCAGGGAGAACCGCGAGGAGGTCGACCTGGTTGGGTATATTGCTAGCAATGGGATTCTCAGTCTCCATTACTAACAATCCCTTTCCCTCCAGAGTTTACTGTTTCGCCCATGATAACCCCCATGCGTTGCCATTCCTGAGGACTCAGGTGTTATTATATATATGGAATGGTAGCTGTTTAATACGAACAAAAATATTGTAATGCAAACTATTTTATAATTGAAAAATACTTTTTTGTTTTTCTTTTGTTTTATGGAATATGTCTTTTGTTCTTCTCTATCACTTCATCAGTATACATGCACGTCTATACACGACGTTTTTATTTTTAATTTATTCTTCTGACCCAAGTTCCTGCTTTTACAATAAAATCAGCGACCAGCAAGGAACTGAACAGTAGCTTCGCTTGCACAACTGGTATACACTCGAGAGGCACCAGCGAAATGAAGCAGGTCAGTTGCCCATCGTGACGAATTCACCATAACCTAACTGAGATGGTGCCTCCTGGTAACCACGGTTTTTTGACCCCATTACTTTATAATCTCCCCTTAGAACAGAGGTTGGGTACCCCTTTATTTCAACAAACGATTTTTGTATAAACTCTAATTATTTAAATGGTTAAATTGATTAACGAAAGACAGTAATGGCCTATAGATACACTAGTCATATCTCGTTTAAAACCCGCACAAAATAAAATGACGGATATTTCGTCAGCGAACGAAGCAACCTTCGCCTTCACAGGCTATTAGTTCGAATACTTGATTTAAATTAGTATTATATTAACTTCATCTTTTATACAATTCTTGATGACAGTGGTAATGTTTTTTTTTTAAAATATACTCCTATTTTTATTCATCAGGTCGCACATCATTAACGTATTTCTTTCTCTCACCTCATCTACTCTTTTGTCCCTGTCCGATATTTTGAATAGATATTTATATTCTTGATTAATTTATTTATATATTAAAGGTAAAATGTAACCAATAATACTTAATTATAATAATAATACAATGTATTTTGAAATTTAGAATGAACTCTCAACAGGGGATGTAGCTCAGTGGTAGAGCGTTCGCTTTGCATGTGAAAGGCCCCGGGTTCGATCCCCGGCATCTCCAAAATTAGTCTTCTATTTTGCAATTTTTTTGTACTTCTTTTTTAACAATGATGAAAATCAACTATTACAAATATTAGTATATATTATAAAAAAATATTAATAGTTTTATTTATTGTTAAAATATTGTCTATATTATCTATACGCAAACGATATTTTTAAAGCAAAGAGAATTGGAATAATGATGAATACATTTAGCGTCATCTACCGACGAACCAAGTCATAAAAATTATGTACATTTAATATAGTTTTACGAGATGGCAACACTAGTACCGTCATTATGGTCGTATAATCCGTAACTTGGCGAGCGAGAGAATAGAAAAAAAAATTGATTGCTGAAACCAAAATCAGTAGGCTTTAGCAATAAAAATAACAGAGGTGAACTTACAAACATTTAAAATGAAAAGTCTCTGTTTTACCACTTATTTAATATCCATAAAGTACTTTCAGTAAAACCTCTATTTTCTATACACGTTTCTTTGGGTAATTTATATTTTGCTAACAGACTTATATTTTCTCGTCTTTTCTTTGTTAGACCGTGTCTGCCCGGATCGCCTATTAATATCTAAAATATAAAAAAATGACAAAAATAAGATATAAATTATTAAAAGTTAAAGTTAAAAATTTGCCAATAAACTTTAAATAAATAAATACAGCTAAGAATTAATATTCATCATCATCATCATCATCATCATCATCATCTCAGCCTTTAAATGTCCACTGCTGAACATAGGCCTCCCTCTATTGGCAGGTTTTGCAAGTAGTTGTCATGCTTGGAAGGCGAGTTGGTAAACGCAGTTAGACTTTGGTTATGTTTAAAGAGGGATACTGCCTTAGTGACCTCTTACGACACTCACGGGAAAAAAAAGCGTAGCCCATTCTATGCCGGGATCAAACAGCCAAACTTTAATATTAGTGTTTTTATCCACAGTATTTCTTACTGTCATAAGAGAAAAATTTAAAGTATTTGTCAGATTTTAGTAAAAAGTCGCCTATAAATTAGCTCAAAGACACCAAAGAATATATTATGACATTATGGTATTATTATTCAAATAAATAAATAAAATAAATAAATAAATAATTTTATTTAAATGTTATGTTTTTGCACCCTTTAATTTCACTGCTATATCTCACCCTTTAAACTGTAACAATATCATGCATGCAGCGGCTTCAGAAACACGAGTTGGACAGAGATACTCAAGCAGACAACTTATGTACTATATTTTTTGATGGGTGAAAATGGTATGGTAACCCCGCCTGCGCTAACGGGATACGCTGGCGGGCACCAGTGAAGGGTGATAGATGAGAATGAAAACAGGCCAGTTAGCCCATCATGATGAATTCATCAGGAATTAACCATGATAGTTTCCAGGGTGAACCGCGAGGAGGTCGACCTGGTTGGGTATATTGCTGGCAATAGGATTCTCAGTCTCCATTACTAACAATCCCTTTACCCCCTATGTACAATGTTTGCCTTTAACAATATATAATTGTATTCATAATTTGATAAATAAATACTTACAGTTTTACCATCCGCTGCTAAACTTATCAGCCATTCAAATAGAGTATTAGCAAATTCTTCATCATAAAACATATCACCAATCAATATGGTGTCGAAGTTTTCGCATTTCGCGCCAATAAAGTTGTTTATGCTCGTCTCTATGGTCACATTGTTTAAATCTGCGTTAATTTTTGCAGCTATAACAGCACCTGAAAATAAATTATTTGTAATTTAAGTCTCTGTTGACGGGAAACACCGATAAGTTTCTCCTTCGCTCTCAGCAAGCGAGCAAGCAAGCAAGCAAGACTTGAGAAAATTTTTGAAAATGTAAATAAAAAAAAAAAGTAAAATATATACTAACGTCTACGCTCTGCTTTGTTAGATCATTATATGGCGTATAGATGGCGCTGTATAATGCAATGTGTTCAACGGCACTTATTATTCTATTGAGACGATACAAATAAAGGAAGTTACTTACAAGCGTCCGTATCATTAGCCGTTACACGTTCAGCTTTCATCATGGCCGCCGCTATAGCCCCAGCGCCACAACCACATCCGACGTCCAATATTCGACGGTTGGCAACTATGTTTCCATTATCTAATATATACCTGTGAAAATTTTATTCCTAATATTAAACCAAAAAAAGCATTAAAATTGTACATTGATATTAGATACCTAAGTAGAAAAAAATTTAAGATATTTTAATATATGCTACACAGATGACAATTGGCGCGACAGATATGTATGTATGGCAATTGACACAGAAACTCATACAAACTTGTTAGCGTACCTAAGTGATCTAAAGAACATCTCACCATACTCTATAACAGTTATAAAGGGACCAAAGTTAGTTGTAAGACTCAAATAGGTGAGATTGTACTAGTCATAAAGAATGATCTCCCCCCAAACAGATGGTTATATGGTAAAATTTAAGACAAGTGCATTTTCGTCCAGGTAATATTTTTAGATTTGTCACTTTAAGTTGTTAGGGCAGCTATATCAAACGACTTGTATCAATGGCCGTAGCAAGGATGGCGGGGGGAGGGGGGCACTAAGAGTTACTGTACTTCCTTAAAAGGCTTAATGCCCTGCCTTAAAATGAAAAGACCCAAGAAAATTAGACAGATTCGCTTTTTCGAAGTCACTTAATTATGGCCTCTGCCCTACCAAAAAGTTCTTTTGCCCTACCTTAAACTCGGATCTAGCTACGGCCGTGCCTGTATCAAAACTTTGCATTTTATCTGTTGTAACGTAAATTCTGAGTCTTTCATATAAATTTTTTGTCTATTTTATAAAGTTGTTTATAAACTCTGTTAAAATTCTCTACTGATCCAACACTATCTCTATTGTTTCTAGTATTTTACAGTGGTGCTGAGTAGAGAGTAATATTTATTTTTGTTAAGGAAATGTATGCATGTAATTCCTAACTGGACATATGCCAATAAGGCATATACTACACAAGATGGGTCTATCTTCGGACACACTGTGCAGACTGTGCGGGGAGAAATCGGAATCCATGGAACACTTGATGTGCAACTGCGATTCGTTGGCAAGTATGCGTATGAGTCTACTGGGAACGGCTTATCCAGAACCAGGGGACTACAGATATCTTAAACCGCGGGATATTGTTAGGGTAACACATAGGATCTATGAAATGATGGTATAAGGCAGGGGGAAGCACAAAAGATCCGTATGGGTCGACGTGCATCGGCTTAGTTGACCCCATATGCGAAAAAATAAGATAAGATGCATGAAATTAGTAAGATTTTGTTTATTTTCATTACCTTATATTTAATTTTAATTTGTTTATGGTTATTAATTTCAAATAGTTACCCCTCCTTGTTTGATATCTGTAATTTTTTCAAGACGGATGGTATTTTTTTATAAAGAACTTCATGATGGACGAAATAAATGTTTTATCATAGCGCGATGTAGATTTATACAACGCCATCTAGTGGTATCTTTGCGAAACATTAAATTAGTGATGGGACTCGAATTGATTTTCACTCGAGTGACTCGAGTAGTTTTTATATTACTTGCACTCGAGTTAAATTTTTGACAACTCGAGTTTCGAGTGACTCGAGGCAACTCGAATTACGAGTAACTCGAGTTGACTCGTACCACTCGAGTGGTTTATACCGAGCGGTATAAAAAATTCAAATTGTGACAAGTTTACCCGCTGTAGCAGGAAACTTTTAAGAGAGAAAATTCTTCCTGATGCTTATCATGCCGCACGCACTGTAATTGTAGATATTCAACATTTAGTTGAATATACGGCTGTTACAACAGATTTATGGACTTTTAACAATAATAAAGCATACCTAACTATTACAATACATTTCATTTATAATATAAAACTTTTTTCGCAAACTATTACTACTAGAGAGGTACTCGAGGAGGAACATTTTTCTATTATTTTAGCAAATGTGCTGAAGTCGATATTTGATGAGTGGCAAATTACAGAAAAAATTGTGATAATAGTATTCGATAATGCTCCGAATATAAAGAAAGTTATTTCTGAATATTTAAGTAAGAGGAATTGTTACTGTGTAGCTCACACTTTGAACTTGGCGATCATTGAATATAAGAAAGCTAACCCTTAATTTATGGAAATTATAAATAAATGCCAATCCATAGTCACATATTTCAAACAAAGCAACAAAGCGTCTTACAAACTTATGGAAATGCAACGTACAATGGATATGGAATGTATCAAATTAAAACAAGATGTCCCAACACGCTGGAATTCTACATATTTAATGCTAGATAGAATGCTCAAAATTAAAACTGCTTTATCTGCAATTATGTCCGATATGCCTGGTTCACCAAATAATTTACAAAACTTTGAATGGGAAGTGGTTCACGAATGCATAGATCTTTTAAGACCTCTTGAAAAACTTACTGCAGCCTTATCCGGAGAGAAATATTCAACATTGTCTTCAGTGATTCCTTTGATTAGAACTGTTCAAGAATTAAAAAATCTTTATAAGATGCTGTTGATAAATGGTTAAGTATTTTAGAATCAAACAAATCTACCTAAATCTAGCTAAATCTACCTACTTGGATTCGAGATTTAAGAAAATTGGTTTTTGCGTAGAATCTAATGCTGATAGGGCTATGCAATCCGTTATTGGTGAAATTGAATCTACCTCTATATCCACAAATTCAGATAATATCAGAACAGAATCGGAGTCTTCATCGTCAAACCGCAACCAGAAAATAAGGACGTAAATGATTTATGGGAGTATTTTGATGCAAAACTTTCGGAACGTACTTCAAATCAAATATCATTAGCCTCGGCTATTATCATGATGAAACAATACAATTTTTTTTTTGAGAAAATGAATACACATATTCTATGTAAAATTAATATTATTTTATTCGTTTTAAAATTTTGGTCACTCGAGTTTTATATTCCGAGTGACTCGAGTCAATAAAAATCACTCGAGTTTTATCTTCACTCGAGTGGCATTCGAGTGAGTAAGTTATCAGAACCGAGTGACTCGAGTGAAAAAAAATCATTCGAGTCCCATCACTACATTAAATTCTTTTAAACGCAAACGGAAACACTTTATTTACGTTTAATATACAGACAACAAGAATAAACAGAAGCGTAACTCTTTTTTTTCGAAGACTTCACCCGCAACCGTCGCCTTATCGAATAAAAAATAAATAACAGAATCGGTTCAAAGTTGGTAAGATACTTCATATAAATATACAAACGAATGGATAATACTCTCAAGTCACATAAATATAAAAAGAATTAACTAAAAGTGAGCTGAAATGTTCATAAAACACGATCGGAAAGATCCACCCTGAATATCTTTAGAATTGTTTTTTTTTTTATGCATTTTGGATGTAAGAAAATTTATTATAAATACTATATTTTAATTTCGATCTTCAGGGACGCAACTGCGAAAACCTGGGGGGAAAGGGATTGTCAGTAATAGGATCTAACTGACCCATTGCTAACAATACACTCTATCAGGTCGACCTCCACGCGGTTCCCCCTGGAAACCATCGTGAACAATTCTCCTGGAAATCAGCGTAGTTAATTCTAGTGGAATTCGTCACGGTGGGCTAATCGCCCTGCCTTTTCATTCTGACTTATCCTATCATCCTTTACTGGTGCCCCGCCAATGTATATCAATAGCGCAAGCGGGATTACCATTCCATTATCACCTTTTAAAAAAAACTTAGAAACCTATTAAGTGCAATGCTAAGTTTCTCTGTGATGCCGGAACATAGACAGATTGTTAATACAAAACAAAAAATTTAAAAAAATCCTGCTTTTATTGCTCTTATATTGTTTTTTTTTTTAATAAATGTCTCCCATGTCATCTAATATCAACTAACGTCTACTAACTAACGTTCACTAACACTAACAAATTAGTACTATGAACTGACGTCTAGCCATAATTTTATTATATGTGTATATATATATATATATATATATATATATATATATATATATATATATATATATATATATATATATATATATATATATATATATATATATATATATATATATATATATATATATATATATATACACACATATAATAAAATATAATAAATTCAATTTACAATGGTACCCTGTACTTTGGTTGTTTTGTTAGAGAGAAAGAGAGGCACTGGCTGAAAACCAGCGCTGTGCAGCTGTTCACATTGCGCTGGGACACTCACAGCATCCGCTGAGCCGGTTCCTTTTGCCTAGTATGGGACACTTTTTATATATGTTATCTATATTTTATATTGTAATTGTGTGTGTTACTGGCAATAAATGTTTCTATTCTATTCTATTCTGTTCTAAAATATTGTAATCTATTATCTGTACTATTATGTTTAATCGGTTTCGGATAATATCTAGAAACTTCTTAGAAATTGTAAGGCATCGCTAGACTACTGACAATTCCAAGAAACGAGGGAGATGAAACGCCTACAGTCGCCTCCCACCCCCATAGGGAGATTCGTTGTACTTAGCAACACAAATGTCGAGTGGCAGACAGAGGATCGTTCTAGAACTTTCTGGCGTTTGTATGACCGTATTTTCTTTAAAGACATTTTAAAATTTATTTATTAAACCACCACCACCACCTTATTTATCCTCAAATTTCTGACCATTTTATCCTCAAATTTATATATATACTTTATTATATATAAATTTCAACGAAACTTGGTACAATTATTCTTCATACTCCTGGGCAGGTTATAGTATACTTTTCATCACGCTACGATCAATAGGAGCAGAGCAGTGAAGGGAAATGTGTCTGTTACATCAAAACCCCTGAACCGTGAGGAAGGACATAGGCTACTTATTTTATATATATATATATATATATATATATATATATATATATATATATATATATATATATATATATATATATATATATATATATATCATATCATATCGCAGCTCAAGTTTGTAACAGCAAATAAACACAAGTGTGCGCCAGAAATATAAGTAAGAAAACAGTGGAACAAATATAATATAAAAAAAACACTAATATCAGATAAAGCAAAGTGTATAAAATACAATTACGATTCTATGGATTTAAAATAAAAAAAAAACAATTTATGCTTGAATGCTAATTTGTTTTTTTTTAATATATAAGAATAATGGTATAACGTAGAACGATGACAGATCAGAATGAAGTCAGTTAGACGCTGCTGTTAACAATCTTGTCGAATTATCTATCTTTTCAAGCTTTATCACAATATATGGATTCGGACTGTATGACTCATACATTACAGGAGCACCATTTCAGTACTGCCTATACGATGAGTCATACAATTCACTGAAACGTAATGCTGAAATTTTCTTTAAACTCAAATTATTCCAATAAAATTGCTTATAGATCGAGAACCAATTAGAAATTATATTGATGTAAAATGATTCTAATCATAAATAATATTATTTTGATATTTTTTTACACAACTTAGAATGGCAAACAAGCTGACGGCCCACCTGATGGAAAGTGGTAACCATCGCCTATAGACATGAGCAGTACCATGCACATAACAGAGTATACTGTTTCGCCCATGATACCCCCCATACGTTGCCACTCCTGAGGACTCAGGTATTATTCCTCTGTACTCTGTAAATTCACGCCATATCCCACCCTTCAAACCGAAACACAGCCATGCAAACACAACTGCTTAAAAAAAAAAAAATCCTTTGAAATTAATTACCATAAACAATTTAAAAAAATATATATAAAAAAATAAATAAAAGAAAGTCACACTAATTCTAATTACATGCATAATTTTTTTAACTGGTCGTGTGGTCCCGGCGTAGAATAGGGCACCACTTCTTACCCCGTGGATGGCGTAAGAGCAAGGGAAGGTAAGGGATGCGCCGTAGCGTCCCTCTTAAAACATCTCTAAAGCCTAACTGCGGTTGCCAATCCGCCTGCCAAGCGTGGCAACTACAGGCGAAACTCCCCAAGGGTGGGGGGAGGGGGGAAAGAGATTGTTAGTAATGGAGACTGAGAATTCCATTGCTAGCAATATACCCAACCAGGTCGACCTCACAATTCTCCCTGGAAATTATCATGGTTAATTACTGATGAATTCATCATGATGGGCTAACTGGCCTGTTTTCATTCTCATCTATCACCCTTCACTGGTGCTCCCCAGCGTATCCCGTTAGCGCAGGGGGGGTTGCCATTCACCCATCAAAAAAAAATCTCCCCAAGGGGAGGCTTATGTTCAGCAGTGGACATAATGATAAGTTTACACCATTATAAAGTACTTTATTATAAAATACAAGACACAACTCAGACTGTGTTGGGCAAACATCTTTTATTATTTTTGCCAACCCTAACATAAAGAAAAAAAACGGATCCTGCCAGCACCTGTAATCACTACGTTCACTTACCAATGCCCAAATTTTAATTAAAAAAAAATGACATTAGTTTTTTTTTTATTTTTAATGCATGATTAATGGAATGGTAACCCCAAATGCGCTATCGGTATACGCTGGCGGAGCACCAGTGAGGGATGATAGGTGAATAATGAAAAGGCAGGTCAGTCAGCCCATCGTGATGAATACACCTGGAACTCAGCACGATGGTTTCCAGGGGGAACCGCGCGGAAGTCGACCTGACAGGGTATATTGCTAGCAATGGGACTGGTAGCCCGCATTACTAACGATCCCTTCCCCCCAATGACATTAGTTATATAATATTTTTTTGTTACAGTTACCTGCAATTCCGAATCCCGTACATGACCCTAGAGTGTGACTCATCGTAAAATATCTGAAACATTCCTGGATGACTCATTAGCTGTCTATCCCTTTCGCTCGAAAGCCGAGCGCTATTCCTATCTTTGTCATTACTAACGTATCGTAAGTCCCTTTTTGTTTCACACAGAAATTGTATGCTACATCTCTTTTCTGCATGAAATGCGGTTGTTGGGATCTTCTGTATTTTTTTTGTCCATATATAGACAAGATCTTAGTACAAAGATCGCGAAAAAAAAAACATTTAATTTAATCAATATATTGATTAGTAATATACTATTGCGTGTGCCTTACAAGCGTGGCAATTACTGGCCAAACTCCCTAAGGGGGGAAAAGATTGTTAGCAATGTAGTTTGATAGCCCCATTGCTAGCAATATGCCCTATTAGGTCGACCTCCACGTGGTTTTCCCCGGAAACCATCGTGGCTAATTCTTATTGAATTCGTCACGATGGGCTAACTGACCTGCTTCATCCTCATCTATCATCCTTCACTGGTGCCCCGCCGGTGGAGTGGCCCCGTGGATGGAGTTATAAGGTGACAAACATAAAAAACAACCGAATGGAGAGCGTTCTCCTTTATTGAAGTCGGTTAAAAAAAATTAAAGTGTAAAAATTGTTTGATTAAAAAACAGAGATTCCGCGGTATACTCATCCTTACGGTGGAGTGTAGACCACTGTGTAGACATTCGGAGAAATCGAGTGATTCATATTCTGGAGAAACTCATGGAATTATTATCTTTATCAGTATTACCTTAAAGTTCATATTCTTAAATATCCTTGCGACTAGCCACTCGATGAAATACCAATACATTGCCGTCTACAGCTATCATACAGAACTGAACTTTATGCATATTAGAATATGGTTGGTTTTTAATTATCGAAATTTTACGCAAGCGTAAAACATTTTCATTGATAAAACCAACACGCAATATGTAATGTACGAAGCTTGAACGATAATAGATATGACATTGAAGTGTTGCTAACAGGAAAATATTTTTGTTCGGGTTTTTTTTTTTAATTTAGGAAAATACAAAACTAAGGTCATAAAAGATAATCCTTTTTGAAAGAATATTAGGTAGAACATCGTGCGGTCCTGGCATAGAATGGGTCTATTTTCCTTTGCCGTAGGTGTCGTAAGAGGTAACTAAGGGGCGTTAATGGTCTAGGGATGGGAGCAGGATCTTAAAACATCATCAAATCTTAACTGCGGTTACCAACTCGCCTGCCAAGCGTGGCAACCACTGCCAATACAACCGAATCGTGAACCTCCTCTTTCAAAGGTTGAAAATATGGCTTCATGACATGTGGCACGAACTTGGTAGGTCACGCTAAGAGAGCACAGGTGTTGTTTAAAGTGAAAGTGTATTGGAATTCCGAAAGGGCGTCTTAATACGTGCCAAATGTCATGTATGACATCTCACAATTATTCCTATTTTAAAAATGGAAAGCTAGATTTAAAGAATTGTATTTATATTTGTTTATTATTTCTATTTTAGTATTTCACAGTATAATGGCTGCCTGATATTGTATGTACTTTAAGAACGAGACCCCGGGTTCGATTCTCAATTAGAGTTTTACTAAATTGTTTTTAATTGTTAAAAAAAAGAAAACTATACAATGTTCAAGGGTAAAAACCGTACAGCTAAACTTAATAATACATAATTAAAATTGAACATATAATACAATAAAAAGTAACTGTATACACTGTTTATATATATATATATATATATATATATATATATATATATATATATATATATATATATATATATATATATATATATATATACTAGCTGTTGCCAGCGACTTCGTCCACGTTTCCGTCGTTTTTCGTAAAATAAGTAGCCTATGTCCTTCTTCTCGGTTCAGTGGTTTTGATGTAACAGACACATTTCCCTTCACTGCTCTGCTCCTATTGATCGTAGCGTGATGAAAAGTGCCCAGGAGTATAAAGAATAATTGTACCAAGTTTCGTTAAAATCCGTCAAATAGTTTTTTTAATAATTCCCTGATTATACCAAACAATTACCTGGCGGCAGCTTGTCCCCCTGGCCAATAGAAAGCCCAAAACGGGTCCTTGAACGGCACCTGATCCTCAGTAGCCGTCCAGAGAGGGCACGACGATGTTATCAGACGCAGCACAATCTCTGGGGTTAGGTGGTGTCGACTGGAGACTGTGTGCTTGATAATAAGCGATGCTATATCCTTTATCATTGTTTCTAGATGTCTGAAACAAAATACTATACTTATTATTAAAAAAAAAAACAAAAAAAAAATACTATATTTCATTTAAGTTCGAATATGGGGAAAAAAATTGTGTATCAATTTAAATTTAGAACACACTCTTCGGTTATGGAAAACGTAGATAATAAAAGAAATGCAAACGATGGTGGGAAGCTAAAAGGCCGGCAGCACATTTGAAATACCTCTGGTGTTGCAGGTGTCCATATGCGGCGGTAGTCACTTACCATCAGGTGAGCCGTATGCTCGTTTGCCATTAATTCACAATTCCATTTTGGTTCATTAAAAATGATGCTAACGTTATAATGTAGACGTCAATTGCATAATTTTCCTGTAAACTTTTTGTTAAATATTTACAAACAAAATTTATTAATTAAATTATATCAAATTTATATTATCCTAATTATTTGTTATTGTTATATTAATATTAATATATAAAATACATATAAAATCAGTGGAATAACGTGAGGAAAACAATAAACAAAGTTAATAAGGATAATGATATAAAATTGTGTCAAAACAAGGAAATTGCATGTGAAGGATTTTACAAGGAAATTGATAATTAACCTACGATAACATTATTTAATAAATTGCCGTAATGTTCCAGCATCGAATGGACCGCCGTCTCCCTTCCTGTGGGTGTAGTAAGAGGCAGCTAAGGGAACCGAATGATTAAGAATCAGAATTCTAAAGTTGTGGTACTTAATATTTTCCTTAAAACACCTGACGCTATGTAGCTTAATTTCACAAACCAATATTAATTAGTTCACTGCACGTTCCAGTTTCCATTCTTTAGAAATTTCCTAAACTACGTAGCTTTGGCGCGACAGTACGTCACAAGTAACGGACCAATTGCGAATAGATAAAATGGCGTTGATTGATAACAATGGAACGAGGTCGAAGGACGAAAATTGGTTTGTTAATTTACTACGCGTAATTGTGCGTTGACTGAGAAAAGAATATTAATAAAAACAATAGAAAATAGAAGAGCAAAGAGAAGCAAAATGCTGGACTACCTTATAAGACATGACGATTTTTTAAAGAGCATACTAGAAGGAAAAGTGGAAGACAAAATAGGAATGGGAAGAGCGAGGAATAACTACATAGAACAGATAAAAGAAACACTAGGTGTCATGTTGTATAGGGAGGTCAAAGATATGACCTGGGATAGAGCTGGCTGAAAGAGAATGCATGAATTAGTTGCACCGACAAGAGGAAACTCTTAAATGAAAAAAAAAATGTGTATTAGAATCTTATAAGTATTAAGTAAGGAGGACAAGAAAAACGGTGTCTATTTTTGGAAAGGAATCGTTTTTTTTAATGAGTGATAATGGAATAGTAACCCTGCACGCGGTATCGGTATACGCTGACAAGGCACCAGTGAGAGATGATAGATGACGATGAAAGCAGGTCAGTTAGCCCACCATGATAAATTCCATAAGAATTAACCATGGTGGTTTCCAGGGGGAACCGCGTGGAGATCGACCTGAGAGGGTATATTGCTAGCAATGGTGCTATTAGACCTCATAACTAACAATCCCTTTCCCCCTAGGAAAGGAATCGTTAACACCATTATTTATATAATAATAATAAATGACCAGGCGTTTGGTTTGGAAAATACGTAGCAGCAACAGTATTTCCGAACCGATACGACAACATAACCTTCAAGAAAAGAGTATATTCCTTTTTAAAACGCCGGCAGCACACCTGCAATGCCGTAGGTGTTGTGGGTGATCATGGGCGGCGGTAGTCACTTACCATCAGGTGAGCCGCATGCTCGTTTGCCCCCTGTGTTGTAAAAAAAAAAAAAAGAAAACGTTACATTTACGCTCAGACTGCGACTGGAACAATGGGGTCGATTCTGAGACACCGTCTATCTGAACATATGTCTTCAACTTGATATTACAGTGAAATTATTTATTCTAAGAAACCGATATGAACTAAATTTCAAATATATAGATTTAAGTCAAAATTATTATAGTTTTTTTTTTATTTTTTTTACAACACAGGGGGCAAACGAGCATGCGGTTCACCTGATGGTAAGTGACTACCGCCGCCCATGATCACCCACAACACTGACGGCATTGCAGATGTGCTGCCGGCCTTTTAAAAAGGAATATACTCTTTTCTTGAAGGTTATGTTGTCGTATCGGTTCGGAAATACTGCTGCTGGAAGCTGATTCCAAAGAATAGTTGTTATGATCGACCATAAAACAGTCCTTGGAAGGTTTTGCCAGTAGCTGCCAAGGTGGATTCGCAACCGCCGTTAGGCTGGTGGTATTTTAAGAAGGATGTTGCTGCCCATCCTTCGACCATCAAATTCCCTTAGTCGCCTCTTTCGACACATACTTCACCAGAGGGAGACTTTGTACAAAAGTCGATTGCTTGGGTACCTCTGTCCCATTCGTGTTTCAATCGTGAAGCAGTTGTGTTTGCATGGCTGTGTTGCGGTTTGAAGGGTGGGATATGGCGCGAATTTACAGGGTACAGAGGAATAACATCTGAGTCCTCAGGAATGGCAACGCATGGGGAGTATCATGAGCAAAACAGTATACTCTGTTATGTCCATGGTACTGCTCATGTCTATAGGCGACGGTTATCATTTTCCATCAGGTGGGCCGCCAGCTTGTTTGCCATTCTAAGTTGTATAAAAAAAAATACGGGAAAGAAAGGGGTGACCTATTCCCTGAACTGAGTTCATTCTTGCGTATCATTAATTGATACCCCGTTAGTGTAGACTGATAGTTCAGGCGGGATCATTATTCCATCTCTTAAAAAACCCAAGCCGACATATAGTTTACTACTTAATATTCTAAACAATAGACGCTATGATTTACAATATCAAAACTGTTGTCTGTCTCAATGTTAGACAGAGATAGACGCATGCGTCAAACAATAAACCCAACTGACAATATCAATAGGGGATTTTTAGGCAATTTCATATTCTGATTGCGTCCACCGTCGTACCTTATAAAGGATACATTATGCTCATGCCAATAAAGGGTTCCGGATATTCCTAGTTCGGATATTATTCTATCTATATGATTATATTATATAATTCAATAGCAATATACCTTATCAGGTCGACCATCACGCGGTTCCCCCTGGAAACTATCGTGACTAATTTACCGTTGAATTCGTCACGATGGGCTAACTGGCCTGTTTTCATTCTCATCTATCACCCTTCACTGGTGCTCCGCCAGCGTATCCCGTTAGCGCAGGCGGGGTTACCATACCATTTACACCCATAAAAAAAGTGCTTGTGATTAGGATTAAGTGGTCACACGATCTCTCTAGAAACCATTGTGATCATTTCTTCGTAAATTCATCACCATCTAATGATTCACCTTCATCTATCATCTTTCGCAGGCGATCCGACAGCATATTATATCTACTTTTATTCACAAAAAACAAGCAGTTATTATAATGCATGTGTGTGTTTAAATGTAGTATTATCATACGCACATACACACACATGCATATCGTGTAAGTATTCTTTCCACTACGATAAAGACGTCATATGACGTCAAACGCTTCCAGTATGTGGAGGAAAGGCCGTGGAAACCGTGGTCTAGACGACCGATCCCACGTCACTGGTTTATTTGATAATTTTTAAATTTATCGTCATTATAAAACCGTCATTTAATATTACAATGTAACGGAATGAAATTTTAATCGGATATAAAATTTTATAAGAATACTATAATAGGTTACTTACTAAAACTTACTAAATTGGGAACTTCAAAAACAATAAGAATGTCTTGCTAATTTTATAATCAGTAAAGTATTTTTGTTTGCTATCATTTAGTGCCTCTATAGTTGCCATGCTTGGCGTGCCGATTGGCAAACGCAGTCTTTTAATGGGTGATAAAAGAACCCCGCCTGCGCTATCGGTATACACTGGCGAGGCACCAGTGACAGATGATAGATGAAGGTGATACAGGTCAGATGAATTCATAAAGAATTAATCAAGATAGTTTCCAGAGGAAACCGCGTGGAGGTGGGCCTAATATACCCTATATTGCTAGCAATGGGCCTGTTAACAGGCCCTCGATAACAATTCTTAACAATTCCTTTCCCCCTGGCAACCGCAGTTACGTCTTTTTGTGATGTTTTAAGAGAGACGCTTTTGACCATCCCTCGACCTTCCCTTTGTTGCCTTATTGCCGGAACTCCTAGTTATTCTAGATTAAAAGAAAAATCGGGGCAAAGATTTTAATGACATCGTAAATTGAGAATATTCGCAACTAGTACGCAGTTGGGCGACCTTGTTCGAGATATAAATAGAACGTTCTACTGAAATCGCGATGTATGAATGTAGGTACTTACTAGTTTATTTACACTCGTATATAATTGGCACTTTTGAATCTGTACTGTGTTCTCTTTAAACTTAATAAACTGTATTACACGAAATAATAAATGCGATCCATTTCCTAGAAACTTATTAGGCAGAACATGGAAATTTACACATATCTAATTAAGACTTGGTTTCATTTCTCAACTGATTTCAAAAAGGTTATTGTTTAGAGGTTTTAATACAAATATACGGTGGGGGAAAGGGATTGTTAGTAATGGGGTTTAACTGCTCCATTGCTAGCAATATACCCTATCAGGTCGACCTCCACATGATTCCCCTTGGAAACCATAGTGGTTAATTTTAGTGCAATTCATCATGATGGGCTAACTGACCTGCTTTCATCGTCACCTAGCATCCCTCACTGGTGCCCCACCAGCGTATATCGATAGCGCGGGCAGGGAAACCATTTCATTATCATTCATTAAAAAAAAATACAAATATACGGGTAGCCGTGTGTGGTATATAGTATGTGATCCTTCCTCCACACTTCCTTTCTCTTGGCTGTCGTAAGAGGCGACTAAGGGAGCTTATGATGAACGAATGGACAGCAGCTCTTAAAACATCTGTAAAAGCCTAACTGCGGTTGCCAACTCGTCTGCCAAGCGTGGCAACTACTGGCAAAATCACCC